AAATTTCAAACAAGATGGTTGAAGCCACGGGGGATAACTGTCCTCCTAGTTGGAATGTTCTTTCTCCCTTCCTTATCCCACGGAGTCACTTAAGCCCTAACCCCAACCACCCGCGCAGTGGGGTTATGATACTTTCTGCTTCTGTAGGAAACGAAACTGAGGCTGGGATGGGCTTGATGGCCCCAGATGCTGCGGCTCATTAGGATGAAATGAGCCCACAAAGTGAACGCAGTTCCGTTAGGACTACAAACGTCTCCCCTTCTACTATCAAGCTTCCTCTGAGGATGCCCATGACGTACAGGGGCTGTAGAGTTGGATAGTTCCTGAAGCTTGCCATAAACCCATGGAATGGTCATGCCAAGGACACCTCCAAAGTGAAAGGTCACAAGGAAAGAGGTTCCTGGTTGGTCAGTCCTCTGTTGGGAATTGGTTACTGCAATGGGGATGGATTTCAGTTATGTCCTCCTGAAAGGGGCAGGGTGACGCATTGGCAGAGATTTAAGTGATCAGGGCTTGGCCCTCCTGACTACTCAAGCTGCCTCAACAAGTCTCCATCTGATGCAGATAAAACAGGGCCTGTTATAAGCGTGTCCATGAACAGGTCACACCAAGGTGCCCAGAGCTTTCCATGGGTTTCCAAAGTATAAAGTACAGGGAGCAAAGTCAGACTTGGCTAGCAGGTAAGAGATGCTGAAACACTGGGCCTGCTCTCTGGCAAGCTGCTATCAGAACCTAGGGTCTGGGTGGATGTGTTCTAGGGCCTTTAGACAAGCCACCTGGGAGTTTTCTTAAGGCACACAAGGCTCTGGAGGCGTTGACTAGGGATGGTATATTGTAATGCCCACTGTCTGGCCAGAGGTCCCTGCTCTGGAAACTGCTGAGAGACACAGAAATGGCTATCTCCCACTTCCCTTGAATAATTTGCCTGCACTTTGGCCAGTTGGGAACTGCACAGCCCTGTGACAGAGTCCTTTGGCTTCTTTTATTTTATAATAGACTCATGACTCATTATTATTTTTTAAAAAGAATTCCAGGAAGAAAAACAAATCATTCTTGTCTCTCTTGCTCTCTCTCCATTCTAATCATTGCTTGCATCCATTTGAATCGTATTTGGAATCTCTGAATCAAAATGTTGATAAATATTTCTCGTGCATCTGCTGTGGGCAATGTTCCTACAGTATAGGACCTAGATAAAGTGAGGTTATCTCAGAAATATTATATTATTAGGGAGCGGTGTACACACACAGAGAAGGCTCAGTTAAAGGCAGGAATGTGCAGAAAGGCTGTTGGCCTCCCTTAGACCAAAAGCTCTATTCTTTCCCTCTGTAGAAACAAGAGTGCACGCTGAGAGGCCTGGAACATTCTGCCACCTTGAAGGCCAGGCGAGGAGCACGCGTTTCTGAACTTAGAAAAGACACTTAGGGACAGCGGAGGTGCTCGCCATACAGCGAGAGCGAAGGTGCAATACGGTTGGCAGAGGTGCCAGGCACAGACAGATGTGGCACTCCTGAGGCTATAGGAGCTGGAAGGTTCAGCAGGGGGAAGGCACCAGCTTTGACAGAGGGCATTATTTTGGTTGTTCCTTATAGTGAGGTAAGGGATAAGGAAGGGAACTGAGATGGGGGGTGGTCTCTGCACCAACTCCTAGATCCTCCTCTACAGGAATGGGAGTCCTGGGGGGGCAAAAGGGAGACAGGAGCTGGAGAGGACCAACACAGTGATCTCTTATTGTCCCTGGAGATGATGCTTCCTCTGAGGTTATAGCAGAGGCTGATTCTCCAAGAGGTAAGGCACTACGGTCCAGAGGTGCTGTACTTGGAGCGAGCCATTCTGGTGACCTCTTGGAGATTCGACTAAGTTTTTTTCTTTTTTTCTGAAAGAGTCAGTTCAGCTCCCGACTCCAGGACTCCTAAAACAGCTTTCTGAACAATTTCAAGGCTTCCGCCTGGCAGTCTGCATATACCAGCAGCACACTCAGCCTGCTGTCTCTCCCACCACAGGCTTCAATACCAACAAGGACACCCACCTGCCAGAGTGCAAGTTCACACAAACAGAGCTTTCAGTTTTCTCCAGAGGGGAAAATAAGGCCCGAGGTGATCCCTGATCTCTCTCTTCCCCCAGAGTGTAGCCCTAACAGGTGGTCATGTCCCTTCCCATCCTTCCGCAGACTCATTAACTTCAAAAGCAGCTGCTGAGGAGAGGAGCTATTTCTCAATTCTTCTTTCATGAAGAGGTAAAAGAAAATAACTATCTCAGGAGACCACACACAAAAGTCCTCATGAAAGCAGAGAGCAAAGGATGAGAAGAGGCCAGGCCTGCTTTTCAGCTGCCTTATCGGCGTCCTCTCAGGGAGACACTGGAAACCTGTTCACCAGGTCTCTGGTGTGGGCACACAGTACAGTTCAGGACTGGACGGAGGACTCTTTCTGGGGAGTCTACCTTCTTACCCCAGACCCTGATTTGAAGAAGCAGAAGCGCCCATGACCCAATCCTCATCGATGCTGACTCTGTTCTGGATACTCAGAGACGCAAACTTGTCAATGCCACACGAGCTGTGCATGCCAATTCGAAGGAAACCATGATCCTCATATTTTGGAAGTACATGCAATTTGAAAATCAGCACTTCCTGAGTGGCCAAGGCCTGACTTCCTGAGGTGGCCCCAGGGCCTGTAAAGTCTGAGGACAAAAACTCTAGAAATGGAAAGCCAAATCAGACAGGCCCTGAAACTCACTAGCTCTTCCAGTACGGGCCTCAACTCCACGTTGAAAAGGGACTTTTAACCCAACCCCCCCATCACTGCCTGGAGGCAAATGCCTGGACTGGGCACCCGGGGAGGCCGCTGGGGACAATGCCAAACCCACAGTTCCTGTGCATATCACACAGCTCTAGGGGAGTGTTGCAGTCCTAACCCTTTATAGTTGATTGTGGAGGAAGAGAGTGCAGCCTGGAGAGAACGTGAGAGGGGTGGGTAGCTGAGGACTCTGAACAGATGGGCTTCTAATGAAAATACTTAAGCCTTTTGATATACAAGTGACCCAAAGCCACTGCAAGTCTGCATGTCTACTGTGAATTATAAGACGTTTAAAAGATCACAGTATTAAGGATCCGCCAATAAACCCCTGATTAAAAAAGTGTATTTATACCAAGTCACCAGTATCTGATTACATTTGCCCTAAGACAAAGATACAGATTTTTCTCTAATTTTTCTTGGCTGCAGATCTCTTATCCCTCTAACCAAAATCCAAGGAATGCAAACAGCTGCCAGGGTCATGTCCCCAAAGCAGCCGTCACTCACTTCCCTTTCCTTCTCTTTCGGCATCAAAGCTTGCCATAAATGTTTAATTGCACAGGAGCTGCCTTTCCACTGCAAGTGACTGGCGCTATGAAAGGCTTTTCATTTTTTAAGAGAGGCGGAATGCGTGTGTGTAAAACGGTCCCTATTAATTTCCTGATATTGACTCTCTGGCTGGGGACGAGCATGGAGTGTTCGGCAGAGAGCGTCTCTGCAGAATGTTAAAGGCAGGGCTTGGACTGAGAAAGGGTACCAAATGCAGTATGCGTCAAACAGACCATCGCTCAATGAAGTCACTTAGCTATTCAAAACATGTTCAGCCATCACTCAACCGTTTGCACCAAGAACACTGGGAGGGGGCATGTGATGTGAGCTCTTTCCCAGACTAGTGTTTGGCTCGGTATGGGTTAGATCCCCAGGACCGCGTTAGTTTTCTCCTCTCCCCCATCTGCTGGCCCCAACTCCCTGCAGCACCATCCCACGTTGAGCTTAACAAACACCCCTGCAGTGCTCACTTCCCGACGCTCCCTCCAAGGGCCTCCAGTCCTGGTTCACATCAGTGGAACACACACACAAGCCTCTCTCCACACAGGAGCATATGTGTCTCTCTGCCTGTCTTCCTATAGGTGGCTTGTGCACACAGACAGATATAGCTATGCAAATGCACTCCTTCATATTAAAGTCTGTGGCTAAATTCAGCTTGTATGACCTGCAGAGTTTTCCTCCCTCCTCTTGTGTTTATTAATGTGTCCCAGAAGCACATGCCTCTCTCATGCCCTGGTCTCCAGCCTTTACTCCGTGGGAGCCCCTTGGCCCGTGGCACATGCAGCACACATGCCCCAATGACTCTGCAAGATCAAGGCCAACAGCTGGCACCCCCACCCCATGCCTTCCCATTCCCCCTCAACCTCTCCATGCCCTCGCCTCCTGCCTGCACCGTGCTGACTCGACTTGCTTCTGGATGACAGACATGTCACTCTGTGTGGAAGCGAGTCAGCGCTCAGCCCAACCTGCAAGTGACCACTGTTTATTAGAACTTGGACTTGTTTCCTGTGAGAGACACATGCATTTATAGACTCTGTAAACCTTAAAACACACACATTCACACAGCCAGCCACCTTGCACGATACGCGGGGCTCACAGACATTACGAAATGCTCTTGAACTCGGTTGAGCTCCTGGAATAATTAGAACCTACCAAATAAGGATTCTTAGAAACAACTGATTTTTTTTAAAAAGGAGATTTACAGTTGGTGATGGGTCTGCAACTTTTGAGGAGTGAGGGGAAGGGGAAGAACCTTTTCTGGATCCTTCATTGCAAAAGGCCGAACAGCACCGGGGAAGAAATTATTTTCCCTCCTCATAGGTGGCAAAGCTAGACCCAAAGGCAAACCCTAATGACTCCAAAGCAGCCAGAGCACATCTGACTCTATGAACAGTCTCGTGTTTTTTCACCGTAGCATAGATCATCCCAATGAGGAGGTTTGGGGGGACGGGGTGGAAGGCAAGGAGTAGAGAGTGTGGGTTGCCTATTGATTTTCCTTCCTCTGAAACTAACCCAGCCAACCTTGATCTGCAGCGGCGGCAGCGGAGGGAGTGAAGTGGGAAAATGGTGGAATGTGGAGGGGACTTATTTGGAGTCGGGTGGGGAGGGGGGTGCGGAGGGGAGGGGCGGCGTGGGAAGGGGAGGAGGTAAGAAATCAAATACCTTCGAGGCAGCAGGTTCTCCATAATCCAGAATGGGTCATAACTTCCTCGTTCTTTTTGCTGGTTTCATTCTCACTGACACTTTTGGTCTTGCAAACCCCTCTGGAGTACAGCCAATAGTCGGTTCCCACAGCGATGGTCATCAAGCTGAAGGCAGCGAAAGCACCAACGGTGGTTAAAAGCATTTGAACACCTCGATCAAACAGCCCCATAATTCTTCATTATATAAACACCCAACCGACTTCTGGTTCTCAGGAGCGTGTGTGTGAGGGTGCGAATGGTAATTCCACTACTAATATAATGGATATATGTGTGAATAGAGAATATGGAGAGATATAAAAAAAGGGAGATAAGAAAGCTCACGGAAAAGTGTGTAAATTATAAAGATCACACGGGAAGAGAGGCTTGCCTTTTGAGATCAAAAAACTGTTCCAGTTGCAGCGATTTTTTTTAAAAAAAGGGAAAATAAATAAAAAGACACCCCCCACCCCCCCCAAGTGAGATGCCTTAATCTCTTTTCCTAAAATTCTGGTCTCCAGTTTCCATATGTGATCGCTAATTTGGAGATGGCTTCCACAGCGCGCCAGGGAACAGCCGAATTTTCAACACCATCTCTCATGGTCCGGACCTAGACAGTTAGAGACTGGGAGAGCCGGGAAGCAACCTTCGGTCTTCGTTCGCGGCTCTGCGGCCTGCGCCATGAAAATCCGTGGCTTTGCCAGTTCTCTTCCTTGGGGAGGAAGGTGGTTCTCAGGGTGCCTCCGTTTCAGAGGAGACTGTCCAGTCTTCTGCAAGCCCTCGAGCTCAGCTGCACCGGTGCGGGGGTCTTGCCTCCCATGGTTGTGCCCCGGTGGCAGCGGTGGCGGCGGTGGCAGCAGGGCTGGCGGGCGCGGCGGCGGCAGGACGAGCAGCCGCGGTTATTGTTGTTGGTGGCGGGGGTAGTGTCGGCGAAGTGGGGGAGGGAGGGGGTTTCTCCCGGAGAATCGAGGCGGGGTTCCCTCTCCCGATCCGCAAAGCTCCTTGGAAGCCAGCGAGTGAGCGAGCGATAGGGCGCGCGAGCCGGCGTCTTGCAGCAGGCAGGCCCGCCCGCCTCCCCCGCTCGCGGCCGCGCAGCCCCGGGCCAAAGCGCTCCTAGCTACAGCATCGCCGCGCTGCTGAAAAGACAGCTCTCCCGGGTCAGGAGCTCCCACCTACTGCATCGCCGTGGTGCTGAACTGGACAGCTCCCCGCGACCGGGTGCTCTCACCTACAGCATCGCCGCGGTGTTGGACTGGACAGCTCTCGGAGCAGGAGCGCCCACCTACTGCGTCGCCGTGGTGCTGAACTGGACAGCTCCCCACTCTGTGCGCTCCCTGAGCTCTGTAGCCCTCCTGGAATGGGGCCTGGGCCACAGGGCCTCTGTCCTCCAGGGACAGGCCAGGACAGGCCAGGGCCGAGCGCGGGGCTGCCTGGCCTCCCCCGACTCCTGTACCACAGTTCCGGAATGAGCGCTGGCCGGGCCTCCTGGAGCTGGGAGGAAGGCGTAGCTGGCAATCTCTCTCTCTCTCTCTCTCTCTCTCTCTCTCTCTCTCTCTCTCTCTCTCTCTCTCTCTCTCTCTCTCTCTCTCTCTCTCTCTCTCTCTCTCTCCTCTCTCCCCCCTCTCCCTTTCTCTCCTCTTCCCTCCCCCTCTGTGTTTCTTCCAGATCAGCTTCCTTCTTAGTCCATCTCTACATGCCCAGAGCTTCAAATACAACCCTCCCAGTCCAGCTGCCACAAAACTTCGATCATTGGCTTTTGCACCTGGAAGAGATGGACATAGAACCTGGATGGGTAATTACAAACACAATCTCTATGTGCTTTTCCCCCAATCATGGGTTCCACGATGCTTTTACGGGAGGGGAGGCTGTTTTGTTTTATTGGCTGGACAGATGCGTTTCTTTCCTCATTCCCTTCTTGATCTGTGTGTCTTTCTGGCTAACAGAGGTGTGCATAGCTCTATCTGTGATGCTCTGTAGTCTTCTGTGAAAGTATACGTCTTGCTTCCACAAGTAGACATTTTGGAAGGATTATTTGTGTGAAAGAATGAGGGAAGGTTGGCTGGTAACTGAGGCTCGGGACATGATACTCATCTCAAGGATAAAAATGTTTTCAGGGGAAGTGGGTGAGTGTAGATCTTTCCAAGTTTCCCTCGTCATTCATAAATGAGATTGAAGAGATTTTTAAAAAGCATTTCTGTGAGAATTGTGAGCCTGGGGTGATTCCTGTGTCAGCTTTCTGAACTGTGTGTGCAACGTTCCCTTAATGTGACCCTGGAAATAATTGATGCACTTCAGCAATGCTCACACTGTGGATAACATGTTTTCTCTGACCAGTTTTGTGACTAAGTAAAAGGAGAACGTATGAGGCAGTCTCTAGGTTATGTTTTCCATTTGGGGGAGGGGCTAGGGAAAGCGGTTAGTTGAATGGGTCAGCTGAAGGGTGTAGAGAGATGCTTTGATTCCACCCCCTCATTTTGTTTTGAGAAGACTTGCTTGATAATTTATCAGTGATTCTGACATTAGGGTGTACACAGAAGAGGGCTGAGGTAGAAACAGCTCCTTGGGGTGTGAAGCTCACTGCCCAACTTCTTCCTCTCACCTTCCAAGTGACAGGTAGAAACTGCCTGCCTCACTGCTCTGCATGAAACTTCCTTTTCTCCCAGTCTCTGCTCCCTCTTTGGACAAGAAGGGCCCTTGGGAGGATGGATAGCTGTCTCTCTGGCTCAGGGAGAGGGTCCTGGCATCTGGAGAATGGGACTCAGAACTCTGCAACTGTGCTAAGAGATTTTAGTGGAAGTTGGATCTGGCTTGCAGGGAAAGGGCTCTCAGGCCTTGCTTTCCTGTCCTAGGAGGGCAGGAGTAGCAGTGGGGAAGAGGGCAGGAATGGTCTGCTCATCCCACAGGCAGCTCAGTAGTGGCTTGGGTGTGTGTTTTTCTTGGACTGCTACCCCTATACTTTTTGGTTATGAGTCTAACATTTAATGGCTGAGCCACCCTCCAGCCCCATTGGGTAGCTATCCTTAAGAAATATGCGAGGCACAGGTGTCAAGGCTTCTGAGATCACCTAGATCGTTTAAGGATGACAGTCGGGGAGAGATACTTGGGTGTCCTTATATGTGTCCAAGAGGTTTCCCTTCATTAATGCCTGTCACCTTGACTGCCTTTGACCTGCCCATGCATAGTGGAGGCAAAAATTCTTCTTTCCATCCTTTCCCCTCTTCCCAATAAACCCCTGAGATTTCTGCTTGAAAGGCACCCACAGCAGAATCTCTGAGGGCTCTGTTTGTCTGCAGATTCTGCTAACTACGGAACTGCTGACAGTGGTTGTAACATTTGCAGCATTTGAGTCATCTTCAGGCCAGATCGTCACCAGGAAAACAACAGGGGTAGGGGGAGAGGGAAGCAGTCCCCACAGCCTGCACGGGGACAGCAGAGACCGATGCAAGGAGAACAGACTTGGGGGCCCAGCTTCACTCGGGACTTGGACAGCTGCCACATTCTGCCCAAGTTGGCTTTCCGAAGACTCGGTTTCAGTGTCTGGAAAGCGGGTCTCTAAGCACCTGTCTACTCTTCCAGAAACGTCCCAGCTACTCCCTGCTTTTCGCCGCTTGCCACACGGCTATGACTTTGGTCACCACCTTGATCACACTTAGTTGTGCTGTGATCCTCTCATTGCCCCATAAGCCCTTTGAGGTCGAGAGCTGAGTAGCGGTCACAGTTAAGACTTCGGAATCCAAGAAGTTCTGGATCCACGGCAGATTCTTGGTAAGTGATGAGCAAGCAGTTCCAGTGTGGGCTTCATATGGCAGAAGAAATTGAAGAGCCTGGCGTAAAGCAAGGGGGACGCCTCTCATTTCCTTACCCCGTTTACACCCAGAGCACTCCGCCTTCTCCTTCCGCACACTTCTCGTCTCACATCCTCTCCCCCCTTTCCGAATGCGTTCTAAGCCATAGGGTCCTTGTGCAGGCCAGGAAAGGCCGCCCGAGAGAGCTGGCCCTGCTTGCTGCTTGGGACGCACCAGGCACCTGCACTTGGCGGCTGATGAGCGGATGTCTAGGGAACGGCTTTGTGTGGCTGTAGTTTGTTACTTGGGAAGGGCTTAGAGGAAATTAGCTGAAATGCCACAGGCCTATTTTGAGATGCCTCTTTGATGGAGTGGAAATAACATGGGATTTGGGCGCAGCAGACCTGGTGTTGAAGCTCGAGGCTGCTGTTTTCTCGTTGTTTGACCTTGGATAGCTACTTGCCCTCTCTGGAAACTTGTATTTTCATTTATCAAGAGCTGGGGGTACAAGCCTTGTGCTTTGGTCACCAGTGTTATATGTTAACAGCTATGTTATAGACTGACATTTGTTGGGTGCTGGCCCAGCTGAATCCTACAACCCTCCTATGAAAGGTATCACCTTACTCCCATTTATAGGTTAGGAAACAGAGTCGCCCAAGGATGCAAGTATCTGGCTTTTTCAGACTTAGGGTATGACAGACCTAGGAGTCTTGGTCCAGTTCTGAGCGTTCTGAGAAAGGGCCTTGTCTCAGAACTGTCTGCTTCTCAGCCACAGTTTACAGAGAAACTTTTGGGTGCCAGGTGTGTTCATGCTGTTAAAACAATCAGGTCAAGTAACCCTCAGCTATGTGCTAAGGACCTTTAGGTGAGCAAAAGCCCAGAGAGGTCACATCCCAAGCCCAAGGTCATATGTCAAGTAAGTGGGTCAGCAGAGATGTGAACACTTTGAAGTGCTTTGACTGCCACTAACAAGTATAAAACTGATTCATTCATCTTTTTAAAAATCAAAACTCAAGTATCTACTGCGTGTCAGGTACTGTGCTGACTCCTGGCAAGTGGGGAAGTCTCTGAAAAGGTGAAGGAGAGGATTCAGGCATGGCAGGACATGTTTGTGATCCCAGCACTCGGGAGGCAGGAGGCTCACACACACACACACACACACATATACATGCACACACAGGCGCACACATACACACGCGCACACACGCGCACGTGCGCATGAGAGAGAGAGAGAGAGAGAGAGAGAGAGAGAGAGAGAGAGAGAGAGAGAGAGAGAGAGAGAGAAAGAGAGAGAGGGGGCACCGAGCAGTTAGGCCAAGATGGGGGTGGGGAGCTGAGAGGAGAGAGCATTTACAGCCTGTGAATGTTTAGGTGTGGAAGAAGAGGCTCCTGGACAGTTACAAGGAAACAGAAGAGCAGCAAAGTATGGCTGATGCGGGCACGGTGGTGGGAGGTGCCCAGCAGTGGTGGAAGAGGCCAGAGCAGAAGAAATAACCTGGAGGGAAGACATCAACCACGTGTGGGGCAAGGGACAGCCAGGCTGATGTGGTTGGTCCCCATACCAGTGATGAGGCAGCCTGGGCCAGCCAGGGTAACTCTGGATGGGAGTGTGATGGCAGGAGCACCTGGGGAGAGCCAGGTGAGCACAGGGACCCACACTGAGGTGGGGGAGCACAGAAAGGAGCCAGTATGTATGTGGGTGTGGGGAATGGGAAGCTGAGACCTCCGCCTCCGTCACGGACCTGGCTGCCATGTTCTGAGACCTCTCCACTCTATGCTCTCATTCTCTCTCTCCTCTGCATGCTAATTAATTAATTAGGGATTCAAATCATTCATTTGATTCCATTCTATTCCCAGAAGAAGGCAAATCTCACAAAGGCAGAGATTTTATCCACTGTGTCCATGCTGCAATTCCAACCCAAAACACATCCCAGCACATAGTAGGTATACACTAAAAAAATAATTGCTGATGCAAAAACCCAAATGTGTGCTGTCTCTGGTTATGGAAGCTTCTGAGATAAAAATAATCAAATCAAAGAGCTTGACAACTGGACTGGTGATCCAGGACACCATGGTCCAGTTGGGACAGTCATGGGTATCTGGCATCCCATGCTGTGTTCTCCCACTTAGCAATGCCCTTGTGACACTTAATTTTGTATCTAGAACTTAAGACTGATGTCCAAGATTGCCTGGCACATAACAGGTCTGCAGTATGGGTTTGATGAGTGAATGAACAAAAGCCATGCAAGTCCAGAATAGAAAGCAGTTAGTTCTATCCTAAAGGGGCTCAGAAGCCTTTTTGGTGACCAGGAGATCCATCAAGGTCATAAGAAAAGGTCATAGGGTCAAGAGATGGGGAAAACTCAAAGCAAGGCAATAGGATCAAGTACCCCAGAGGACAGACCAACAAGCAAGTGAGTGCCCTTGGTCGCAGGTACCCACTGGCCGTATTGTTCTTGCTCAGGGGAAAGCTGGGAGGTTGCACAGATGAGGTTGTGGAGCCAACTGCATCTGGCCTGGAATCCAGCTCTGCTGCCTATTTGCTGTGTGGCCCCATGCGGGGATTTAACCTTTCTGGGCTCAATCTCATCTGGCAGTATGGAATGGTGCCTGCTCCAATACTTTGTTCTTGCCATTTCCTCCCAAAATATGGTTCAAGTCTTGACACTGCTCATTCTCACCTCCAGGAAGGTGCAGTTGCTCACATACGCAATTGGGCACAGATAAAGAGGTCTGTTTTGTCTCCACTGTTGTGATTTTTTTTTGCAGCCTGACACACTCTCACTAATTATCCAAATTATCTGCCACCCACCTTTCTTCTCTGGATGTCAAATCCCGTCTCTTGTCCCTTATGGAAGCCCCAACATCTAAAAGTTATCAGAGTATGGAGTTGTTGGATGACTACTTTCTGGATGCCTGGACTGTGGTTGCCGAGCAGGAAATATGAGACATTCGGAAGTCAAGAGATGAAGGGCCTGACTTTGGCCACTGGGGTGTGATGGGGGCAGCTGGGGAAAGTGTAATTCATGGAACTTCTGAGGGCAGTTTTCACAGGGCTAGGAGGAGATGCCTGGAGACAGGGAGTTCTCTGTAGCAAGCCTTAGGGTGCTGGGGTACTGGGCTACCCAGTGCGTGTATACTGGGGGTGTGGTTTGTTCTGAGTCTGAGGATAGCAGGAAGCAGAGCTCTGTTATGGAGGTGTCCATGACAAGAATCCTTGCAGGGGAGTTGCTTCTCTCCCGGGGACTGCCACCCCCAGCTGGAGCCATGAATCACAGCCAGAGGGCGGGTGTGGGATTCCCCCACGAGCAGAGCCACCCCTGAAAATCATGAAAGAAAATGAATAACATGGTTGCAGGGGGGGAAACTCCAAGTCGAAAGGGCACATGATGGGGCAGGGGAGGGCAGAGAGGGTGAAGGGTAGCCAGTGTGGAAGCGTGAGGGAGAAGGAGAGTGCACTGTGCGTGACAACACATCGAGGGTTAACAGCTCCGTGTGGAAAGGCAGCTGCTGCCACACCTGACCCCCAAGCTTGACCCCCAGGATGCACACAGTGGAAGGAGACAGCTGGCACAGGTGATGTGTCTGTGTGTGGCACAGGTGATGTGTCTGTGTCTGAGCACAGGTGATGTGTCTGAGCACAGGTGATGTGTCTGAGCACAGGTGATGTGTCTGAGCACAGGTGATGTGTCTGAGCACAGGTGATGTGTCTGAGCACAGGAGATGTGTCTGAGCACAGGTGATGTGTCTGAGCACAGGTGATGTGTCTGTGTCTGAGCACAGGTGATGTGTCTGTGTCTGAGCACAGGTGATGTGTCTGAGCACAGGTGATGTGTCTGAGCACAGGTGATGTGTCTGAGCACAGGTGATGTGTCTGAGCACAGGTGATGTGTCTGAGCACAGGTGATGTGTCTGTGTCTGAGCACAGGTGATGTGTCTGAGCACAGGTGATGTGTCTGGCACAGGTGATGTGTCTGTCTGGCACAGGTGATGTGTCTGGCACAGGTGATGTGTCTGTGTCTGAGCACAGGTGATGTGTCTGAGCACAGGTGATGCGTCTGTGTCTGGCACAGGTGATGTGTCTGAGCACAGGTGATGTGTCTGAGCACAGGTGATGTGTCTGTGTCTGAGCACAGGTGATGTGTCTGTGTCTGAGCACAGGTGATGTGTCTGTCTGGCACAGGTGATGTGTCTGTGTCTGAGCACAGGTGATGTGTCTGAGCACAGGTGATGTGTCTGAGCACAGGTGATGTGTCTGAGCACAGGTGATGTGTCTGGGCACAGGTGATGTGTCTGAGCACAGGTGATGTGTCTGTGTCTGAGCACAGGTGATGTGTCTGATCGAGCAGTTTGGAGACAGACAGGGATGGTCCTGAAGGGTCTACTGACTGGATACTCACATCACAGGCTGGATTCTTCCTCCATCCTTCCTTCTGGAGGTTTCTAGAGCCCATAGCCCATGCCAACTTCGGGGCCTTTGTGTCAGCATCTTCTTCCAGGGACCTTTGTCTCCGGGAGCTGGCTTATTCCTAGTTCCTACAGGTACAGAGCACAACCACACAGCAAAGGCTGACCCCACTGGCTTCCCATCCCCAGTCTGCCTCAGGCCTTTTCTGCCCCTCACTTCCCACGGTGTTTATTTCCTTCGTCATGGTCTTAAACCAGAGCTGGGCTGTGTGACTTCTGTGATCTCTGCCTTTTGTAAAGTGTCTGGCACATAGTAGGTCCCCAATCAACACACACGGATCCAATGGTAAAGCCTCTGGGTTTGTATGGAGGGACATGGAGGCTTGAGCATCAAGGGAGAAGGAAGTGGTGATGGCTAGTTGGGGAACCCACCAGGACATGGGCAGGGCTGGAAATTCTGGCTGGGGAAGGTGTCTCTGGATGTCAGGAAGGCTTCAGAGGTACTGGGGTGGTGCAGAGCTTATCTAGGGGCAAGGAAGAAAGATCCAAGATGACGTTGTCAATGAATCTCAA